TTTTTTTGAGGAATAAACGTATCACCAATAGATGGGCGTAATAACTTATCTAAAGAATGAGTATGGTAAAGTGCTTACTTTCTTTTCTTTCTTTTTTTCACCCAAAAAATATTAATGGGCATAAATTATATTTTTTATGATACACTGCTATTTGGTAAACTTGTTGATTGGCTTACCGTCTTACATAAAATGGTTTGTTTGAAATTCATTACAACATAGGCAGCAGAAATGTTAAATGTGTCTTTTTTCTGTTTTTCTTTTTAATAAATCGTGTATTGTAGAACATCATTTGCATCAAATGCACACTATGCCTATGTATAGAATATTTTTTCCTTCTTTGGAAAGAGCAAACATGAGTTTAATAACATTCAACATTATTGTTTGAGAGCATGTCATATGCTAAACTCCTGAAGTATATAGCACTTGTGTGAAATTATTTCTTGTAAAAGTAGCAAAATGAAAACAAAGTACAAAATGTATATTATTTTGACTTCAATACAAAATACTTATCCACAATTTCTGAACTAACTGTCCAAAAGCAACAGAAGCGAAAGATGGTTTAGGTAATTCACCAATGAGTATATATTTTGGAAACAGAACGCAAAAAATGAATAGATTTAAGACATTTCTGGGGCATAATGGGTAAAACAGACAGTAGTATAATCTAAATAAATCTGAAACTTAAAGAATAAAATGAGACAGTCTTAATAATAGAGGCTGAATTCTAATACAATTTTGTCTCAAGTAATTTGTAATTCACATGCTGATGTTGATAAGCTAATTCAGACGTTAATTATAAAGGGTCAGTGACTGAATTGTTCTTATGAAGATTGGAGATGACATTAAATCAGACTTAAGTCGACAAATTATTTAAACTATTATCCAAATGACAATTTGGTAATACAGTAAGCAACGGAATGTAAAGATTTTCTGCTTTATGAAGCGAACAACCTGAGAAATTGATATAATGAAACATAAGAGAGAGAGATGAAATGAACTTTTATACAACATGATATACACCTAATGTGTATTTGTAATATCTAATTTATTTTACGTGGTATAGTTTACAGTTACACGTGGTTTGGCCTACAGTAACACGTGATCTTGTCTACATTTAGACGGGGTTTGGTCCACAGTAACATTAACAAAAGACGGTCATATAAAGACTTCCAAGCCTCACTTTCCTTGCAGTATGTCAGTCACGAGCGGCCAACCGAGTTAAAACACCTTCCATACATGAGCTAGCTGGATAGCTTCTCACGTACAAGAGTTTTTAGTCCATTTTTGTATTCGAACCTTCAGCAGTAAGTGACAATAGTGATTCGAAGTCAGTGAACTTAACCACTTGGCCACGGAGGTGCCTGCACTTCCTACTGAATTTTAGAATTTTGTTACTCACGTTTACAGGCTATTGACCTACAATTTCTGTAAAATAAAAACTCTATAAAACATATCAATCATCATTGAAAAGAGATATTGATATAAATTACTGTTCAATGAAATGAGATCACAGCCTCGCAATATTAATTAACGTACAGACATAATACAAAAGAATTTTCCCTAGCATCCGCTGACAATTATTTCTCCCTAGCCTTGAATAAGTTAAGATCTCAAGATATCTATTACCGGATGACAGAATGTCTGGGGTATTCAAAGTGTCCGCCTTCAGATTTCGATCATGATTCAAGTATCATAGAAAGACAAGAAATGTATTCGAATTACACATTGATATCAAGGATTACGGACCCTGATATTGAGCATGTATTTGAGACGCCATATTGGAATTTTATCAAATAACGACGTCACAGTTAGAAATAACCCCTCACGTGACAAATATACAAAAAGATATACGAAACTGTGGAAGGAAACGAGAGTGGCTTCGAGCTATTACTATATTACCCAAAAAATAACCGAAATATAACTATTCATTAGGGTTCGTAGTCCTTTTAGAGCACTTTTGGCACGGATCACATTTGTCACACCGGCCTACAGTGCTTTCAATTTATAAATGTCGATAGGACATAGTACTTGACTATTCTCAGTAGTAAAGCAAGATGTTGAAATTCTATATTCAGAAACTATGAGATGGACACGGATGATGTGGTGCCCCAACAAAGTACTTTCTTCAAAGATATCTTAAGGTCGACGACTAGTCTCTTTTGTTAATAGCTAAACATCACCCTTGATTAAGAGCAGTAACTTGGCAATTAATTATATACCTGACAAATCAAAATAAAATCGCATGTTTTGTTAAGGTAATATCTGACTAATTTTAATCTTTCAAAATCTTCCTATCTTTGGAACCTTGTAACAGTTTCCAAAAAAATACTCATTTGCAATATATACATGTATAAACCCTCTTTGCTTATTTTGCTCTCTGTTTGCAAATGGTATATAAACATTAGTGAATAGTAGTCAAAATACTACTATGTTAACATTTTGCTACCTTTACGACACATCACTGCATGCTCAGCGCTACTTTTTCAGCTGTTAAATATCTAGCATGCTCCGAGTCCATCATCAAAACATCATCAAAGATTTTTTGGTATTTCTGAAGCAAAATATGACTTTATATACATGTATAGCAGGCGTACAACACATGTTATTTTTCCTCTTAGACAATAGTGGACTGATAATATAGGTAGATTCAGTTGCCGCAGGAAAATTACTGGTATTATCACTCCACAAATGATTTATAATTGAACTATATAGAAATCGTTATAAAGTGTTTAGTTTGGTTTAAACATATTTTTAAGCTTGATTGAGAAACAAGTTCTAGCAGCTTATATTAATCACTTTCGAGGACGCTGCCTGGAACCAACTAGTACTTGTGTCATATGAAGAAACATGGTCATTTCCCGATCAGGGCTCGAACACATAATCTCTGGGTTTAGAGGCAGACACCTTAACCACTAGGCCACATTTCCCCTCTTTTAAAGTGTAATGAAAATAAAAAATAAGACAATATATTTTAGAGATCGGGATAGAATAAAAAGTGCCTGGCTGTAATAAAAGCTAAGATAGTCTCAACGACCTATAAAAACATTGTAAGCTAGTTATCTATAATCTAGTTATTTCACTTAAAACGTCAATGGCTTTCATATGAAAAGTTTGATAATGTGTTTAGTATGTGGATCATTACATTAACAACGTGATAGCCTGAAGTGCCCAGATATACTTATTTATTATAACAGTTTATATTAAAGATAATATTTAGAATCTGGTATAAAATACTGGTCCATATTTTTCCAAAGTTCATACTGTTTGATTGATTTATTTCAGTTAAAGAGAGAAAGAAATAGTTTGAGTGCTACCCGTGGCTCAAAACGTGTAAGATAAAAATCATTTCTACAAGTAAAAAAAGAAACTTTTTCAAATAGGTTAAATATCCCGTGAGGAACGATCATTTTATTGAAATATTTGAGATAAAAAGGATTGAATCTTTGAGCGATTGGAAGTATCTCTTTGCGCTGCACTTAACCGCGTGATATATAAATGATAACGTTCTCTGTATTGAAGGTTTTGTTCACGTATGGTACCGAGGCATTTCTAAGGTTTAGCTATCCAGATTACGGATATCGCCAAAAAATAGAAAGCCCAACACGGCATAATTGAAAATGTTGCAGGCTCGGTTTGATTGAGCCTGTTCATGGACGGTACTGGAAAGTGCAAGTTACCGTCCACGCCCCCTAGCACCGGCTTAAGCAGAATTCAACATTTAAACATGAAATAGTAAAATTTTGAATTTAGAAACATCCGCAGATGTGTTCATACGGCGGTTATCATGGAACCTTCAATGTGACACTTCCGTGCCATTCCATGAAAAGCGGCGTATGGTCCCCAAGTAATAGAAAGCGTGTGCCCTAAACGAGAAAACAATGGGCAGAACTAAATAAAATGAAATTTTGAAAGTGGATCAGAGGTTATGACGCCTGCGTATCACAGATAAGACGTCAAAAGACAAATTTAAAAAGCAGGCAACATATCCTAAGGGTGATTCAACATTATTCAAGTAGGAATATTTGAACCACCCAACTAGAAAATGCCGAAAAGTTGAAACTAAAAATACCACAAGCACAACAATAATGTCGTCATACCCAAAGTCGATCATGTCAACTACGGGCGAGTACTAGTAGTTCAATTCACTGGGCTCAAATCCAGTGAGAGACTGCTGTGCTATTCTTACTTTATACGAGGAAGTTATTCAGCTCGCTTTAGTTAAGACCTTATAGAAGACCGGTTGTGCTCAAGTTTTCCTCTGTCAGTGGACATTAAGATGTCGCCATAAAATTGTTACAGTGTTATAAATAATGTTATTGGTAGTGATGTTGATATTGTTGACATCGACGATTGTATAAATAACAAAAATTAAATACTGAAATAGTATTCATTCAAGAGCATTCTGTATCAAGTTATCTATCTCAAAAACTGAAACAAATTATCTTCAAGATTGTTAAGATTTTATAGCTGTTATGCACTTGTCTTCTTATTCAAAAAGATGAAAATTACTTCGCGATTTGAGTATTCAATCAACTGTAAAAATACTGTTGTCCTAGTTTTGTCCCTTGTCCTGAAGATGTTCCTCGTTCTCTTTTATAGCTATATCAAGAATTAGTACAATATCTTTTGACTTTTTCTCAAATTTTCTAGGAATAACCAACCTAAACAAAAAAAATCTTAAAAGTTAAAAAGGGACAAAACTCAAATAAAATAACTTTCAGAGTATGTTGCCTTGTTTTATAATTGTACCAAGCATTTTAACCCCCCTTGTCCTTTTAATGATAATTTATCATTTCAGTTACACCGTTTAAATGTTTGGGTAATGTGCTTCTTTAAATTTTTTGTTAGACAACGAACACAACGACGTGAACTACAAGGATGGCGACGACTCAGCTCTCATAATACATGTAGCTCGAAACAGACGAGCTAAAATGGCATGTGTAATAATGATAAATTAAGTGAATTATGATATAAATTATAGAAAGAAGTTGACAACTTACCTAGAAACTCATTCAGAATGCTAAAGGGCCAAACTATTATGCAGACTAGAAGATCTGTAATTGCAAGCGATAACAGGAAGTAGTTTGTAACACTCTGAAGTCGCTTTTCCATGGCAACCGCCATTATAACAAGAATATTTCCTGCCACACCAAATATCACAAGTGGCAACATGAGCAAAACCTCCCAGTTGTTTTGTGGGGCAATCTCGCCGCCAGCTGATGCATTCATGTCGACTTCATATCCAAAATATGCAGATGAACTGTTCATGAGTTTATCTATGTATTACAAAATTGTTCAAGATCAGCAGGTCTAATTTAATTTCCGGCCTACCAGTCTGTTCCGTGATGTATCTACAATTATGAATAATTAAAACTTTAGACTAGAAATATTAAGTAAGTTAAATTCAATTAATCCTACATTATCAAAACTTGCTATCGTTCTTGATGTCTTCTGAATGCTTCCTCGGCTTAAAATGTCATTTACAGCCAATATTAAGTCTATAAAACGATTAAGAGAACATATTTCGTCTAATACAGGTTTCGGGTGTCTGAATTAATTTCATGCGCCAACCCATAATGAGCATCTGTCTTACGTAAGAATATAAATACTTGTCAAAAATCCATTATACGATAAATGCCGTCTCGAAATATGATGCAATTAAGATAAAACCTGTCTCATAACTTACACGCTTTCATATTTATCAATTATTAGCATACGTTTTCTGTATTCCTTCACCTTGAACCTACGAAACTAAATTTTCGTTTCAATATCAGCCTTACCTGCTGACGATGGTAAGTATGTTCCTGCTCAAAAGTTAATTTATTTTGGTATTTTTATTTCCTCATATCCATCCAATTAGCTGAATGGGGTAACGAGTAAAGTCGGTCACAGTAGCTATTAAAGAGGTCATCAAAACCATTAATAATTTAGTTTCGCGTCCAGGGTACTCTAAAATGTTGTTTTAGGATGCTTAGTTGTACATCATACAGCGATAATTGGGGTATCGTATGTTATAATGCTTTCACCCGGTCATCTAACCATTTGATTAAATTACTTCGGGTAGATAGATACTTATTATATCAAACAAGAAAGTATACGTTCACTTACTTTTCGCAGGTTAAAACAGTCCTTGTGTAGAGCGACGGGGATATGTTGTTAAATGGAACGATCATTCTGAAATAAAGGATAAAGACTATTATCGTGCATGGTCAAAATATATGTTGCAAGAATATAACAAAGTATTCTTCAAATAAATGTCACGATAAACTAAATTTGAACAATGATTTTTGCAGAAGATATATAGTTTTATACATTTTAAACCATACAATATATGATAAACCTTACTAGTATTGAAGTGTAAAAACAACAAAAAATACAATTGCAAAACTGAAGTAAAAATAGCACCAGATCTTTAGTTTAAAGGCAATTATTAGCATATATATATATATATTCCTCACAAATACAAGTGTGAAAGAAAGAAAAAAACGTCTTTTAATCATTGTTCATATTTTCAAAAATGTCCAAGGCCCCTTTTTACAACAAATGAATAAGAATTCTGTATAGAAGAAATAGTGAGATAATTTAATTGGGAATATTTCAGTTGATTTCATTTTTAGAATTTAAGCTGGTAAGTATCCAACATAACAGACTGAAGAAAAAATCTAAAATAAAATCTTATGATGATGTGTGATAACAAACCGGTGTGAATCTTGATGAAGATGATATTAATGCAAGCTGTTGTCTATAAAATATGAATCCCTTATCTTACTCGAGTATTTCTCAGATTAAAGCTTAACACTAACAGCGAACAGATACGGAATCCCGGGAGGGTCATCAATGACTTTAGTGCAGGCACGAGAATATGATTCAGAGATACAGGTGCATTGCTTATCCGCAGGTGGTTAAAACTAATAAGACCAAACCTCTAGAATTATGGCACTCGGCCTGATAAAAGTCGCGTAATTCTGTATTAATTATCGAAGAACTCCCTAGCAACGGATCTCGACAAAAATATAATTAAACGCCAAATGATAATGATATAAATCTGTTGAAACGGTTTTATGTTTGAAGCTTTATTTTTACACTGAACAATGCCAATGCCTAATGGTTCCATGTCGCTAACTTAACACCGTACACCATAAAATACATAATACATAAACATTTTCAACAGACAACTTTTATTACCGAAAAAATATCGCAAAGTTGGCTAAAATAAATATATTCCATTATAAATTTAATGACTTATCACATCTGTACAAACAGACGCTTCACTTCTCCGTCATAATATGCCCGCCATAGTAGAAAATCACACGCATTTTTCGATAGATAATACGTACCGGTAAATTATAAGATTACAAGCTATTAAAACGCAATTAAACGGTTTCAAGATGGAATTAAGAAGTTTTGGCACAAATGATAATTCAATTTTACGTAAAAATCAATGCAGAAAAGCCTAATTTCGATCTGGGGGTAACTTTTCACGGTTTTATTTTATGCAACTAAATTATTTAAAGTGACGTAAAATAATTTTAAGACCAAACATTATTACAGTATGAATGCTGATGAATGAGGACAAAAAAGCCTGAAATGAGGAATTATGAAAATTTGGATAGAACAGAACAAAAGCGCCACATAATTTAGATCTGTGCCAATATGTGTTGTCTATATATATTATATAATGACAATATAAATAAATAAATAAATAAATAAATAAATAAACACGGTTAAGAAGACCACTGTCAGACATTAACCGAGAAAGCGTAATAAGATTCTATTATCCCCCGGTGAGTTGTTCCTTTGTTATCCAGTCATTGTATACCAAATTGTTATGAAGATTGATTTGATTTACTGTTTTTACATACAGAATATTCATGCTTCAGGAGTATCGTGAATACAAAGCACACATAACAACTTTTTCTGACCCCCCCCCCCCCCGCCCCTCCACACACACACACGACTTAAGGGGAGAAGAGGCTTATGCTACATATTAGCCTAAATGTCCGTCCGGCAGGCATCCCGTCGTCCATGGACAACTAACAAAGCAGTGGAATGTACAAGCATCCGTGCCCTAAAGACACATCTCTTACTTATAAACTATAAAATGCGTGACATTTTCAATTTCAGATGGCTTTTCCAATCCAATTAGATAGTTTTCAGACTTATGTGGTATTACGTTAACTTTAATGATTTTGTTCCTAGCATTATTGCATTTTTTTCTCTTTAATAATTCCTGTCACTGTGATTAAACGTGCAAGTTTATCGGTAATAAAGACATACTTCATTATAATCTATTACTTATATATACATGTAGATACTAAACGTATGTTTTTGCAAAAGGGAAGGACAGCTGCTAATGTTCACAGTGTACATGAACTCGATGTCCATCCCTTTTGCCTTCTATCTCGTTTGTCCGATTCATAACTGAATCATATATACAGAAACTGTAACGGGAAAAACTAAATCCAATAGATTAAAGTAATATCAAATCAATTTCAAAAACTATTTATAAAGATTTTTAGTCCAGGCTCTAAATAATTCTCTTTATTAAAAGTTAACGAATAAAGTATTCAGTACAACAGTACAGTATGGTTTCAAAGCTTAACAAAAAATAAGAGCTAAATAGTTGTAGTTCTGATTGAAATGTTGATATACATGCCAATACAAAAAGGTCATTGAAACATAAATGTGAAAGATGGTTTACAAAAATAATCAAAAAAATTTAAGTTATATACCATGTAACCTTGCTACTAGTTTTCAGCCATTTTTTGTAAAATTAAAAAAAGAAATAAGTTCTAAAAATGTCTCAGGGCACTAAAATCATCTTTTTTCCCTACCTTTTTCAGAAGAAGGGAAAGTGGGCATTCCTTTAAATTTGGAAAAAACAGGGTATATTTCCAAAAGGGGAGAAAAAAAACTTTGTGTAAATTTTGGTTTAAGGGAAAACCTCTTGATTTAAAAAAAAAACTTTAATGTGTGATGGCACCCTCAAACGGGCCATGCCTTGTTAAATATTGTACATGTAACAATGACCCTTATTTCATTAGTTACCATGTACAAAAAAGGTGAAAATAGTGGATTTCGTCATACTTTGCTTAAAACATGACAAGCGTCGCATGGGGTGTAGATATATATATATACAAGTTTCCTAAACCATTTGCATATTTTTTTTCTACAGTTATATACCTTTCATAAATGTACTTCGAATACTCAACTTTAAAGTAATAAGATATTAATAAAACTGAAAACAACGTCAATTTAATTGAATTTGTCAAACATGTAAAAATATTTTTTCAAAATAAAGGTGTTGTAAGTTCGCTTCAAAAATCACAGTGTATCCCTGCGAATATATTTCTAAGCTAAAGTGTAATGTAAAGAGTAAGTGGTTTATATTAAGGCTATATATAACATATTAAAGAAGAGTATACTAGTAAAACATGTATTCATTAATAACGTTCGTTGCATGTTTATAAAACTGAAGCAAAACATATACAATGTATATAAATAATAAAACCTTCGCGTGAGTTCTTATTTTAAAGAAAAAAGTACAATAGCAAAAGATAACTAACTTGAAATATAATACATACAGAATGAAGATGAAATACGCACGCTTCAATAGCACTATGCTTGTAATCATCCATTATAACTTCCAGTGTTAGTAAAATTGTTTAAAATTCCCGTATGTAATATAAATTTGAAGAAAAAAAAAACTTTCTCGCTATTATCAATTATCATGTAGGTTTGATGTAAATGAAATTATTCCAATATTTCATATGCCTATCGCATCACAGATGTATTCCAATGTGAAACAATAAGATACAAAGATATGAAAATTTTATTGGCAAACAGCGCTATAGTTTTTTCATCACAGCTGCGCGCGCTGTTGCCGTCGCGCGAGCGTTATTATTCACGATGTGTCAGTATTTGCAATGAAATCGTAACGGTCAACAGTTGGTGCTATAGTTTTTGCGAGACAAGAAATAATTTGTTCCCATTTTTGCTAACCCTACATTTACATATCGACATTTGTTGCTTTTTAAAAGATTTCATTATACATGTATAATTGTAGAATAACCTAAACACATCACTGTAAAATATAAATACAACGTACCATTTTTATTATTCTATTTAAGCAATTATGTTATTTTAGGATGTGAACGGTATATGAGGACCCTCCCCCCCCCTTTGGATTTAACCTTTCGCATTAGCTTCTTTTCGCATATTCAAACCTTCAAAAGTATGGGTAAAGTTGTTTAAAGCAGTAAGTCCTGCAATAAGACTGCTCAGTTTATTTCCCCTTTTTGTCATGCAAAAAATAATTTTACACGCTCTTTTACAGAAAGGTGTAAACCGGTTTACTAAATCTTTGCCAGAATTTACCTCTCAATTTTAAGAAATCTTGTTCTAGTTTGGTCAAGTGGTCATACACACAAAAGAAGAAAAAACTACAACTGTAGTTCCGAAACTTTGCAGAAATAAATTATCACCATCGTATGTGTTTTAAACGTAAAAAGACCCTACTTAAATGCGTTAAAAATCACTGCATAAATGACACTGGCAACGTTCATGCGGCAGTGCTGTTATAAAAAAAACGACGTTACATGGTCATAGAAAAATGTGGTACCTTAATTAATTTAACAAGTTAACTATTCAAACCGGAACGAAATAGTGGCCTCAATGGAATATTTTCTTTTCACGACCTTTAATTGGATGTGATCTTTAACACTCGTAAAAGAACCATTTCTTTGTTTAGCATTGACATTAAAATTGTTTAAGTTCATCAAACAGTGATATTTAGAATATTGCAAACTAACATTTTTGTGATATTTCCAATGGGGAAAAATGTTGAACATTCCAAATTTGCAAACTACATGTACAAACCATATCGCGTCCAAGAAATATGCTAAATTCGTGCAGCAAAGATTAACAGTTTTTATAAAATGAAAATTATCCATATTATGTTGATAGTATTTAGTATCATATACGTGATACCAAACCATAAAACAATCATACATGGATGTTGATGATAAATATGAGATACATGATACGATATGACATATCTATACTGTATATAGCAGAAGGCTCTAAAATAAAATGAGCCGTGTCACGACAAAAGCAACATAATGGGTTTGCGACCATCATGGATCCAGACCAGCCTGCGCATCCGCGAGTTTCCTAGTTATAGGGTCTGTAAGCGAACAGCATGGATCCTGATCAGACTGCGCATCCGCGCAGGCTGGTCTGGATCCATGCTGGTCGCAAACCCATTATGTTGGTTTTGTCGTGACGCGGCTCAAATATTGATATTCATCATTCATGTATAAATGTTCAATCACAATGAAACGCTTACAACCTTTGACAATATTTTTTTCAAGAAATACTTTATAAGACTATCTAAATGAAACGTTTCTATTGTTTTTTGTTGTTGTTGTTGTTGTTGTTGTTGTCTTTAATATTTGAAATATATACATATACTTATGGAAAATGTAACCATTGTGACCTATCCACTATCAAAGTGAGTTTAAATTCATTCTTACAACATTCAAAGAAAACACAGACCTGCTCACCAAATTAAAGAAATTGTTTACTAAGACATGAATAGCGAGTTCTTACAAGAGCTGTCACAGGAGACAGCCAAGCTCGACACTTTACATACTGGACGCAGAAAGGAATACAAAATATAAAAGAAAAACCAATTATGATATAAATATATTTTTTCTTATGACATGAAGATATAGTCATTAATATAAATTCAAAGTTCAAGGGGAAATAATTCTGGAAATAGTCACACTATAGTTATGGACCTTGTCACATAACACGTGTGTAATGATAAGAAACACATATTTGAAGTTTGAAGAAGATACCTTAAAAAGTAAAGAAGTTATAATATTTCTTAAAGAAAAATTTTAAGTTCAAAGGGAGATTAATCTGAAAATATTGCTTCAAGAGTTATGAACCTTGTCACATAAGATCTGGTTGATGATAAGGAATGTGTATTTGAAATTTGAGGCAGATACCTTTAAAACTAAAGAAGTCATAATAAAAAGTAACATTTTTCAAGTAAAAAAAATCTAAGTTAATGGGGAGATAATTCTTGCAATATTGGTGCTAGAGTTATGAATCTAAGATGTAGTTAATGATAAGGAACAAACATTTGAAGTATGAAGTTGATCCTTTCATTAAGTAATAAAGAAGTAACTGTAAAAGATAATATTTTTAAAGATAAATTCTAAGTTCAAGGGGAGACAAATCTAAAAATATTTGTGCTAGAGTAATGAACCCTGTCACATAAGACGTGGTTGATGATAAGGAACATACATTTGAAGTCTTAAGAAATGAAAAAGTTATAGTAAAAAATAATATATTTTAAGGAAAATTCTAAGTTCAAGGGGAGATAATCTGATAATATTGGTGCTAGAGTTATGAACCCTGTCACATAAGATGTGGTTGATGATAAGGAACATATATTTGAAGTATGAAGTTGATACCTTAATAAATGAAAAAGTTATAGTGAAAAATATTTTACTGCACCAAACTTTAATCTGAAATCTGGACGCGGACGCCGACGCCGGGGCAAGTAAGACAGCTCTCCATATACTTCGTATAGTCGAGCTAAAAATCATTGCAATCGTAAACAATTAATCCTTAAGCTGTTGCATTTCTTAAATGGATTTGTCCAGCTTCCGTTTTAAGAACTGCCCATTATCAATTTTAAGAAAACTTAAGTTACTTAGTCAACAATAAAAGGCCTGGTCAGAATGCATGGATAATTAATACATGTACATGTATAGGTATAATACATGTAGGTATGCTCGAGTGGTACATGTATGGACAATTGTCAAGAGGCTCTTGGAATTGGAATTTTTCAAATCGGACTGCCTACTATGTGTTATTATCAATTCAGTCAAGATTTTTCTCTCAATACTTATATAACACTTAAACAGAATATTATACGCATGATAAAGAGGAAGTACGTGACAATGCGATGGAAAACGTGACAGTGCATGGATTAAGAACGACAGTACAATAGTGACAGTACGATAGAAAAACGTGACAGTGTGTTGGTAAAGAGCGACAGTACGATAGTGACAATACGACTGAGAGCGTGACAGTGTGTTTGGTAAAAAAACAACATTACGATAGTGACAATGAGATGGAAAGCGTGACTGCACGTTGGTAAAGAGCGTCTTAACGAAAGTGACAATGACGGAAAGCGTGACAGCGCGTTTTTTAAGAGCGACAGTACGAAAGTGTCTATGAGATGGAAAGTGTGACAGTGCGTTGGTAAAGAGTGACAGTACGATTTTGACGGAAAGCGTGACAGAAAGTTGGTGATGAGCGAAATTACGGTAATGACAATAAGCGCGACAATACGATGGTGACAGTCCGATAATAAAATGGTGGGCTTCCGCCATTGTACTGTCGCGCTATGCGATTTCGGGAAGAACCCGCTGGCACTAACGGAAAACCGTGACCGTACACTTTTATGCAGTTTTAATTATCTTCTTCTTATGTTATACTTCTTCTTCTTCGTCTTCTTTTTCTTAATTATTATTATTATTCTTATTATTATTCTTATTATTGTTATTATTATTATTATTATTATTATTATTATTATTATTATTATTATTATTATTATTATTATTATTACTATTACTATTATTATTATTATTATTATTATTATTAAATGTGCATTCCATTGTTAATATCATAGTCATTCATATCACCTATTTCAACATTCTCTCTTATCATGATTTTACTGAATCATATAATAGATATGCCAATTTCCAAAAAAAAAAATATCAACTTCCCATCATAGCGCCAAGTCACTTCTTTGGGACGAATATTTTTTACAGTCAAAACCGAAACTTGCACTCTTAGATCTCCGTCTTTCCAGTATTTAGCAACAGGAAACAAAATGAACACGTTCACTCTCAGAAGAATAAACTTTATTCAAAGAGAGCACTAGGGGGACTAGTTTTAACAATACAGACTATTGTAGTTGTTCGAGAACATTGTATCCTACAGCCCATCAAGCCAGAAAAAAACTTTTTTCAACCATTACTTGAAAAGGCAAATTCTATATCTGACTGTCTTGGGTAAAATTAAACACACCTTGTAACGACAACTGAGCCTTCGTTCATAAACGTATCAAAAGGCTAATAGAGGAAAGTCATTACTGGCATGTCGGAACCAGACCTTACCGCATTTACATTTCCCCAGGGGTACAGTCTTAAAATTTCTTAATAAGAAGCGGAAACTGTCGAGATCGCAAGTCTCGTTCATATTGTTATAAACGTTTCACATTATAAGAGTTAAAATGGGAAAGGAAAAGGTCACTAAGTGAAGAAACTTTGTGAATTAATGTGCGTGAGAAGTCATGATCTTAGATGTTTGTTGTTTTGTTGTTGTTTTTTGTAGTTTTTGTTGTTGTTGCATTTGGACTCTTGTCTAGAACTTAAGTAAAAATCATATGTAAGTATTCCATGTTTCAAAGCAATATCTCAAAGAGTCCCACTGATAAAATTTCTTAATAAGAAGCGGAAACTGTCGAGATCGCAAGTCTCATTCGTATTCTAAAAAACGTTTCACATTATAAGAGTTTAAAATGGAAAAGGAAAAGGTCACTAAGTAAAGAAAGGTTTGTGAATAAATGTGTGTGAGAAGTCATGATCTTAAGTGTTTGTTGTTTTGTTGTTGTTGTTGTTGTTGTTTTCTGGAGTTTTTGTTGTTGTTGTTGTTGTTGTTTCTGGGGGGTGTTGTTTGTTGTTTTGTTTTTGTTCTTTTTTAGGGGGGAGGGTTTTTGTTGGGTTTTTATTGGTTTAATTAGGGTAAGGGATTTGAAAAACATGCAAGA